TTTGTTATTATTATGATTGTTAAAAATAACAAAATGGTTATATGGGTACGAGCCTTAAAAAATTCGTACTGCTCGCTACGAAAATATGTTATTTAAATCCAACGTTAACAATTACTATGTAAAGAGGGATGCAAGTACATTTACAATGGAGAAGGAAAAGGATAGAGCAAATGAGTCGAAATCTTCCTGTCAACTTTCACGATTCTAAACGACTAAACTAAAAGTTTCCAACTTCAAAGTTGAGCATTCGAATACAAGGCGGTAAAAATTAAGGTGTCTCGGAAAACGCTAACCTGCACGCGACATCTCTTTTGACAAAATAACATGGCAATGTAAATCATTATTAAGTATATCAATTTATGTTCACGATGCCTTACAGAGGTAATGTCGCCCGACTGTCCACTGACCGAACCCGGCGCACTTGACTAGACTGTACTGTACACCCACCAGGACTTCCGTTTGCATTCGATTGATCCAATAGTACAGCGGCATCTCTTTTAAAATACGGTAGAACCCCCTGATCGAGTCAACTGGAAAGCCAACGATTTCTACTTTCGCCTAGTAGATCACAAGGATTTTTACATGATAATTATCTTCTATATATTTTTATATCAGAAATATCACTTCCGGAATGATTAAGACGCTAGGTTTCCCGGGATCAGCGAAACACTGCGTCCGTCACAGTGTTTCTCTCACCTTAGCCATTTGGCTCATGGAAATTCCCAGTGGCACTTAACTAATAATAGAAGTTACGAACCTCGCTCGTGGTGGCATGGCGATTCAGCGGTTCAGTGTCATCCATGTCTAGCTTGACATAGCTTGAAAGACTAGTAAAGCCTTACGTTCACTCCCGCCAAATGGCTTTCCCAAGTCGTGAGGCGTTCATTTTGGCCAGGAACTTCAAGTTCTCAATGAACAATAGTTTTCCAACGAAAAGGCGAACTAGCCGACTTTAGGGCGAACGGTTGAGTCCGGGAACAGAGTTAAGATGGACGGCTTAGGTCTAGTTGCTCCAAGAGTAGCTTCGTGCAAGGTTGGTCTTCAGGTATGACATTTATGCCGTAAACAGCCAAATTAAAAATGTGCACAGTTAGAGCTGATAGTCCTATAATGTAAGAAAACGTACGACAAACTGGATCGATAACTCACCATCATCCAAAAAAAACATGCCAACAGGACACTCATTCAGGAACCGTATTGATATGTACTTTTTTTTTTAATTGCCTAAGCCATATTTTCAGCAGAGGCGGCTTGTACGACTCGAGCCACACGCAGGGCTACAGCAGTAAAGTCTTTCAGATGTTAGGTGTATAGAAACTTGCCTATCAACGTATTAGCAACCATTACGTCGAATACACTTAGCGATATGCGATTTTTAGCTGGTTCTACGCTACAGCACGTAAATGTTCACGCACACTCATATATGTATATGGTACATACAAAAAAAGGTACACGGAGCTGGTTCCCTATTTTCTTCATCGTATGAGCTTTAATCTGTTACTAATCAACAAGTATTATTCTATTTAATTGGTTAAAGGAAAGGCACTGTTCATTGTAATGGCAGCCGTTACATTCGACTTGAAACTCGTCGCTCCTGGCTTAACAACTGTGCGTGTCTCGACGACATTTTGTTAGATAATAAAAACAGATTTTTTTTCCTAATCCGGTAAAGCCTGCTCCTCTTATAGCCAGATTGCAGCTAACGTAAATAGATCTATCTTGGTGATGAAAGTCTGAAAATTATATTGACCTACTTATATAAGCAGTTGTATTTTGACCAAGTCAACGTTTTGCGGTCCTTCAGGATGATCTTTTACTGCACTTCGCAGCTGGGGACGAAAGTCGGTTCTTCCTGACGTGGAGTAGCCATCTAAACCCTGCTATCCTTAGCTCATCAAAGGATCTCCTCGCCGAAGCCACCGATCTCGAACTAGAGCTCAGGGTTCACTTCGCAGTACATCCCCAGCGTTGTGATTCAACTGTGAGTGATTTCTAACTCTCTTATGCAAACGCATTAATAGCAAGATTATGCGAGGTGCCGTAAAAGTCGTACAAAAAAATTTCGAAAACACCTACGTAATTTTTTTCATGCCATCAAATGTCTTGTACCTATCTGAATCTGAAAATAAAAAGTGCCAAGTGAGGTTCTACTCGAAATATAGACAAGTACCGAGAACACTAAACGTCAGAGGGCATGCAGAGGTATTATTAAATACGCTCTTATCGTAGATGGAAGCCGTCCATATTAATTACGTACCTGTAGGGAGTTTTGTGAGTGATGAAATATTACCTGACTACCTGTCGAACATAACGAATTTACGAGCTAATGCTGGTTGACGCAGTCTTCTTGCAATTGTTAGACATGATTAATATAACGCTTTTCGAAAAAACAACGAGTTGCATTTGTATTTGGCAAGTGGCTTCTGTGAAATTTCAGTTTAGACGAACAAATTAATCATATAGAACATTGATTTTCGTTTTAAATCTTCCACGGTGACCCCCCGTAGAATGAAGCAGGATGGCAAACGTTGAAAGTATTATATAATCGGATCACAGAAGCGGCCCCATCTCAATTTGTCCTTGATAGTACTAATGCGTTTTTCCAGTTTCGGAGTTTGCTAGAGTTTACGCTTTCTACAAGGTAGCATCTTTGGCACCTGGCCGTACAGTTGTTTATTGTCTTTTTTATGCATGTCATAAAGAAATAGTCCTTAATCTGAACATAACGCTCGTTAATTTACTATGAAAAATGCAATACAAGTAGACATCGATGTTAAAAAATTAGAAAAGAAATCAAGCTAAGCTTTACGAGCAGAATCATGAGGAATAAATGACGCATCGCGTGAAATTATCAGCTTTTCAATTTCGGGATTCATTTCCATTGGCCAAATATCATTGCTGGTTGTCGGAACACCGCGTACTCAAGGATAAACTGAGGTGCGAGGAAGCCATGCTACGTTTCCGTACCTTTCTCGAGTCCAGAGGCAGTGCCATGAGCGAATCCTCGCCGCATTTGCACTATTACGCACTGCCTTACGTCAGTAAACTGCGCGAACACCAGACGTTCGGAAGGATCTTCAACGAGGAATGGCTAGAGACACTACGAAAGCGATTGGAAAGCTTCATAGATGATGCGTTTCATCTGGTCGAGTTGAATACGGCTAAAACGAAGCCCTCAAGACTATCGTACCTCTACGTGAGTTACTGACTTGATGCAGTTTCCTTACTTGGCACATTTGTCGTTTGTAACATGTTCTACCAAGAACTGGTGACCATATGACATAATCGGTTAACTAGATCAAAACTAGTAGATCAGGACCACAGGATGTTACCGTGCTAAACTAGCAGCTTTGATCGGTCTAGAAGCTAACACCATGATTCATCTACTCCTCGCTTTGTATTTATGTAGAAGTACTTCGAAAAGTAACCTTATTATTACCTTTCAGCACTGTGCGGACATCGAATTGAACGGTAACTATCAAGTTATGGGACCAGTCACGTGTAACAGTCAGGCCTATGACAATAAGCAAATGATCATAATAGTAAAGGAAACCTTACTGCCGTTTCTACTATTCCTTAATTCGGTGTTAGCAATCAATGTCGTCTAGTGGCTCTTTTGTCCTAAAGATCCTGTGGTTTAGAGATGTATAGCTGTCAATGTACTGTATATGCGCATGAACAGATATTCGCGCGGAGATGTCAATTTTGGAGCGTCGACTCGCCGAGGCGCTGGCACAAAACTCTCTAACGACCCGACAGCTTCTCCGGCTCGAAGAGGAACATCAGCGTCTTATGAGCGTCACTGGCGAATTGATTAGCGCGCTCGAAAGCGCCATTCAAGGACGCACGGTTGGTGTCTTAAGAACTTTTGTAACTTTTGATTAATAATTATAATAACAGATCATAAAACCAAGCCTGACATAAATATGGCTAATGTCCAGCGAGAAGTACGATACGTAATTAAGCGACAGCATCGACTGAGGCTACACAGGCACAGCTCCAAAAATTACCTCCATAAAGCTAAACAGAGACAAGGAAAAGGTGAGCGTTGGGTGTGCTCTTTGAAGCACTATACGAAATCGAGCTGTCCAGAGCCGCAATAACTTTGTTGTTTACCCAGGTGGACATGGCTAATATCCTCGATTACTGCGGGAGGGAGGTGCCCACACTTCTCACTCAAATCAGCAACAGGACTGGGGTTGGCAACAAATTCGGTCTCGATTTTACCGATGAAATAAAGGTGCGTAACCTAATACATTGGTAACGGTTTGATACGATCTGCATAACCTCAAGACCACAGGCCTTTCTCTCTTTGCACTTAACAGATCTAGTTACAGGTCCCAAAAAAAGGTCAGGCAAATACTTGTCTGAGACTATTCTGTTGCGTACCCATTTTGAGTGTCATGCTATTACTTACGTGAGCCGGCTTCGGAGGAGTATCGACACTACACTTCAAAGCAGAGCAACTCTAACCATCGTTTGTGAACGTTCACGGACACTAAGGACCCTTTGGGACTCTGGGAGCACGTGGGAATATTTATTATTTCAACTTAATTCAGCCAACATACATTTAGCCCTTTTAGAAAAAATGTTTGTAGGATTTAGGGCTGAGGGCAGCGGTCTGTGCTATACGGAACAGGATCAAAGTCGTGGCTTACGATGAACTTTTCCCCTACCATCTGGTCCACTGCGAGCCCTGTTTGCAACTCTTTGTGATTTTTGAACCACGGCAGATAGAAGTCTGCATAAATCTAACGGAAATCGTCATTATTAGCCGCTCTCATTTAAAAACTGAAGTACGAATTGAATTAACGACTTCATTCTTCGAACGGCATCTTTTGATCCAGCGGCGGATTTGAACGGCGGGATAAATAAGGCGTCGGATTTATAATCATGCGATTCCAAGATTTTGGCCCTTATCGAATAGGCTACCTTATCTCTATTCTATTTGGCAGTAACAATAAATGGCAGCGATGAATGGCTATAAATTTCAAAATGTCTTATATCCATGCGCTTCTACTATCCGAAACCATTACTAGTTTGCGGAAGCGTATGAGAAACTTTCTCAAATCACTTCATAGCATTGTATTATGCTGGCAACCGGCAACATACCAGCACAGGAGTCCTGTTAAGCTCCACGTTAAAAATAAGAAAAATTACCGACATGTAATGTTTTTGGTCTCTTGACGGTTAGTTCTTGAGGCTCCCTTAGCGTTTACACGATGGAATCTACCGCCCGATACTTTTCCTATGCTCGTGGTCGGATGCGCGGCTCCTTTGATTGCGATCAAATACGTGTTATGTTTGTTGTGTAAATAAGATTCCTCAAGAACGGCGTTCTTGATTGTAAAGAGAAAAAAATGCCTCGATCAAGAAAATCTTTAGTAGCCACTTCTCTTGATAAAATCGTTCCCGGGTCGGAGTTAGAGGAGACCGCGTTTTTTCCCCTTGACGGCCAACTGGTCGCCGGCTCCGAGGTACGTCCATGGCTACGCCTGCTAGTTAAAAGGTAACATAGCCTCCTCCTGATGTACTTTTGATATAGCTCAAGTCCGCCACATTGGGTAGTGCCCTCTCTTTAAGAGCCAGTACAGTTCCGCTTTCGAATGCTCTTGGACCGTTAGCTTACATGTGAAGATAGTCTCCACCTGGCACAATTCTGTTATCAATTTGAACGCGTTCTTCGAGGCCGCGTAATGGAAACGCTCGTGAAAGATTCGCTGAACGAATGCTATGACGGAGGCAGAGTGCACCTGATCAGCTGTATCGGACGAGCAACTAACACGGCTTCAGCAGCGATCTTTGTGAATGTTTATTATTTTTTTCTGAAGCAATACTAGTATTTACGAGGCATTATGACTTCAGCTTAAGCTATTCCTGTCTATAGAAGACCGATCAAATGTGTTATGTGTGCTACCAGCCGTGTGTACACGATGTCTCTAGTGTCTGTTCCATGGTACAGGATGTAGCAGACGTTGGAACGATATGGAAATAACTAGTTTGTTTATTGTAAAGTTTTCGAAAGTCTATTGTTGTTAGAGGAATGGCTATTAGACTGTGTTTTTTTTCGGTGTCTCACCTAATTCGGTGGTGAACGTAAATGACCAACGTATGTCTATTGGGAAAAACGTAATTCAGAACACACATTTTACCTTCGAATGATTGTTAAGGGTGCTTTCATGCTCACTTAGTAGTAAAAAAGCTGTGGTCTCCCGAAGCGAGTCTTTGGCACTAACTGACTGTAACAGGCAACCCTGGTTACCATATGAGATGTGTGAGGAACAGACGAATTAATTATTTCTCTGCATGAGTCGCAAGAAGCTTGTCCTTACCTCTGCTTGAATTTAATTTGTGCTGAGCTGTCTCTGAAAGAAACAACGAAATAAACCTACGGCTGGAAAGAGGGCATAAAGTGAAGTCATGTCTACGTTACAATTTCTAACGTCCGAGTTTTACAACAACACGCAAAACCGTATCTTATGCTGACAAAGAACGACTCGCGTGTATAGGGTCTCGCATCATAGAATAAACCGATTGAGAATTCTATACGCTTTCTAATTGTTATGCATGTATCGATCAAGGTAAACAATCAGTTCCTTAAAAAAAAATCCAAAATTTCGCAGGCGATAGATATAACGGAAACCGAAGATAAACCACCCCTGCGACTGGTTGCCTACGAGCTAAACTATCAGCTTATAAAGAATGAATTACTTCGAGGAGATATGGATACGAAATGCCGTCTCATCCAAGCTTTAAGATGGGTGAGTAAACTTAGCGTGGGTATCTCGGCTTGGATTTGACTGTGCAACTTTAAATGCAATGAAAACAATTTTAGACGCCAATTAGATAGTAACACTTTCAAAATATAAAATAATAAAATACATTTTCATTTATTACTTACAGCTTTACCAAATCTTATAGTAGATATCCAGTAGTTGGGTGCAAAATCCTCACTAGTCACCACTTACAACAAACCTTATAATGATATCATTACGAATACTCGACCCATGATGCCCTGCTGAACCGGACACTTTTTTAGATAATTCTTCTATTTAATATTATATTTTCTCTTTTCTTAGCACTGCCAATGAGATCTACATCGATTTTGAAGACTTTTTACAATGTATAGTAGAAGAAAAATGCCACTAAGGTCGTGACTCCGTGTCATTCTTGTTTCTACAAAGCGTAGCAGGTCTTTGCCTGCTTATAAAGCCTATTGTTAGGCCATAGGCCAGCGGTAAGGCAATTTGCTTATGTTCCAAATATGGCCCTGAATCGTGCCGTAATATTTGAATTAACAGCCCCCCTTTACTAACCAGTATTAGAGTAAACAACCGTTAAAGTCAAAAAGTGGCCTAGAGTTATGCGCTCTGACGGCACGTAAACAAAAAGCCCTAATTCTGTCAAGTCCCAGTATTTGCGACAGGCCCTACAGCTTGGTAATGAGGAACACTCAAAAAGTGTAGAATATATTTGTGACCTATTATAGCTTGACTCTCTGGACATCCAACTCGTATATGTGGCCCGTCAGAGTTCATTCTATATCGTTGACATTTCAATACGAAAGATGGCACCATCGGCATGGTGATATCGTTGGCACGCCCGTTTCATTTTTATCACTTGCAAGCCGTGCGTGCATATTTAGGCTCATATTCAGCGCTTGGTCAGCAGACGTTGAGTCCCCAGCGATCCAGCTATATAGCGAGTCGAGTGGATTTTATGTATTGCAGAAGTTAGGAACTACCCGCTGAAACCTTGGCCAATATAGATGCGGACAGTACGTCGCAGTCCTTTGAATGAATTACCACTTATCCATAATATTATTGCTTCGTTGCTCTTATAATTGTTGTTATCATTGTTATTTTGACAGCAACTGACAAAATGTAGAAGCCCGGAAAGGCGTCATTCAACCCTGATGGCGTTCATTTCGCACGACCTGCTCGGGTGTTTCAAACGCCAGTCGGAGTATGCAACGAGGTCTGTATAGAAGTATCAGTTCATAAGTGACTAGAACTGGGGTTCAATAACGTGAACAGTATAGAAATAAGTTTGTTTATTAGACAAAGTTACATAGTTTTGAAATCGCGGTTGACGAGGGTGCTAACAAATCAACTCTGCCGATCGATCGATCCGATTTTTTTCTATTTCCATCAGACGACTGGCTGCCAGCACTTTCTATCGACACTTTGACTCAAACCTAGATCACCACTTGTCCTTACGGTTTTACACACGTTATGCCACCACGCTATTACGCATAACATTAGCGTTACACATTTGCTATATATTTACCTCGACACACTCATAACTGGCTCTATATCAAACTATTTTAATAAAACTATTGATCTCAAATTGAAAAAAAACGAAAAAAATCGACACGATCGACTTAAATCAGATACGGTTTGACGCTGACAGACAGAGAGAGAGAGTTCGGTACTTATATAAGTTATAAGTTCGACCCACAAAAAAATTAATCGATAGGATGCTAGCCTGCATTAACAAGCTGTACGTTGTCGAGGGCTGACGGTCTCTTTTTAAACTATCAATCTTTTTTCAAGTCTAACTACAAATCTACAAGCGTATGTCGATGAACACAAGCAATACCCTTCAATTCAAATATATACGTATATTGGAAGCTCTCCGCTTCCTTCACTTTGAAGTTGATGGCTTCCATCGAGCCACATATTACTTTTATATAGAGGACGGGATAAAAACACTTCGTAGTTTAAGCACTTTACGTTCGTATCTAATTTTTATTATTTTCTTTAATAAAAAAAAATTATACTCACGCAATGCTGTACAGAGGCGAATCTGAGTTTGAGAATTTTCAGTCATGGCAGCATTTGCACGAAAGCTATATATGACAATGACAATAGGCCGTCTGAGATGTCCATGAAACCAGGCATCCACGGACAAGGTGAACGTATGTACTGTAAAGTACGCGTGGCAGCATATAAAGGTACCTAGCCCGAGTCTAAGATGTCTGTTCATGAAGAACATCTAGAAAAGAGCATAGCATTTTCCTTGGAGAATTCAGTGAAACAGCGACGTCCACAACAACAACAACTTGTACATTTGACCGACGCGTGCTTCCAAGCGGGCACAGCTTTTTGCTATGGAAAAAGCGCGAGACGTAGCTGCGGACAGTATATATGCTTGCGATATATATATATATATATATATATATATATATATATATCTGTACATCGCAAGTACACTAAATGCAGTCAATTTTTGTTGCTTCATACATCAGTATGTATTTTAATGTATCTAATGTACTTTGAACGGACAGATTACTGCATCTGCTGCGATCACCTTCGAGCAAGCTTCAGCAGGGTCTCTGCCGACTTCTAAATGCGTTTGCCTCATTCAGAAAGGGTCGCGCCTACCTAGCACGAAACACTCAGCTAGTCGTTGTCATGGCAGACGCTCTTGTCCACGAACAACTGGACAACACAGCTCGTGATATGATTATCGCTTCGTTACAGAAGCTTAGTCTCAGGTCAGTGGTTGGGAACTTAGTCAGCATGATTATGATCCATATCGAAGCAGCCTTTAGACGTATAAGCGAAACAAGTCAGAATTTTTTTTCTTTTTTATTCTTAAGCGTTTCTGGCAGTTGTAGTTACGGCGCCCAATAGTACACACGTTGGTATCGGTGCTTAGCTTCAGCGGATATCGGTTTCTCAACCAACCGAGGGTCTAGACCCAAAATAAGTTCAAAATTAGTTAAGCTAACGTTCGTCAGGGAACTCGACCTTCAAACAATTATTTCAAAAAGCAATTATAAATATCTTATTAAGGGACGAATGTTTTTTTATTCAATTTCGATCCCTTGCCCTGAGACACCTTTACTGGGATACCTGAAACCTGACAACTGGTAATTATAACAGCTGCTGAAAAAGGGACAGTTTAGATGCCCTAATTAAATAAGTTCTTTTTCGACAGCCCAGACAGCTACCACCGACCCCTTAACGAAAGCGACCCAACCAGGGATCATCGTTTGCTTTTAAGGTCTCCAATAAATCCACGCATAAGAATAGTGCGTGGAGGGGAATCCCTGTAAAATCTTCAGAAATAGCGATTATGATCTTTATGGCGGGATTAAGCACGTTCAACGAATTAGGGCATTTTGGCCCCTAATGTTCTGTCGTTAGAGACTTCATTACAGCAGTAGTAATTGAAGCACGAGATCTACATACTCAAAATAAAAACCCATTTAAAACAAGCTTAGAACGATCCCAATATTGCGAAATATTTGACAAAGATGAACCTTTAGAGGTCGAGGCCTTATATTGGCTGGCTGTTCTAGACAGAGATAAACTCTTTGCTGTACATGCGGAATGGGGAAAAGTAGGCCCACAGTGAAAAAAGACTGAGGTGTGCAAGTAGAAAGGTAACAGTTATAAAAAATAATGTGACAATTCCCAAATAAAATAAGCAACATCCGCATTAACTGAAAACTTATTTTTTGTTATAGTAAACAATATACATTATTGAATAGCCAGAAAATACGCTCTATGTCTACAAACTAGGACAAAACAGAACGGCTTTAATGGGCATCCCATATTTAATTCTGTAATTAAATGTATCGCGTGATGACGTCATTGGTTTTAGGCAAATTATTTAGGTCGCATATGAAACGTTACTTAAAACTCCGCTGGAATCAATTTTGAGTCATTACTTCGACAAACACAGTGCTAAGGCCGCCATAATATCCCAAACGTTATTTAAAGGAATACAATACGGTTACTATAAAGGTACTGCGACATGAGGAATACACCAAATAGAACATTGGATTCGGTTTGTTTTTATCAATAGTCCGGTCTCTCAAGCTATGCGTTGAAACACCAGCGAAGCGTGTTTATTTATGGACTGCTGTTTCGGCATTCTGCAGGCGACCGCTGGTAATAATCATGGTTGACAGTGGTACAATGGGATGGCTGCTGCGAACGTTGCCTGAAGGTCAAAGTTGCGATGTAAACTCAGAGGTGCGGGGCAAGGGTTTAGGACCCTACGGCTTCGAGTATGCCGCTGCCCTTTTCATGAATCTTTGTCTTAGCCCACACGGACGTCAGGAATGTGCCAAGCAGCCAGACGTCACACTCGACGTTATTATGGATTTATACGACCGTAATTTACCAGGTATGAATATCTACTTATATATATATATATATATATATATATATACACTTCAGCGGACTGTTTGTTGTAGCGGCATGCATTTATTCGCTATTCTTGGTACCAGTAGAACACCAGTTTTCTTTGGAATAAAACAGTAAGTTCATCGAGGCAAAAAATAGCGTATCGTTTTCAGAATTTTATCTAAGACAGGTTGTTTTTATGTCCACATGGCACGAATCCTTACCGAAATTGTGACTATCTGTTACGGCCGAAATCACCCATGATGTTGGCAGTCTTCACACTTATTTCTGTAGGATCTGAAGAAAATTTCCATGGAAAAAACGGGAAGGTTGTCAATAGCAAGGGCCCAAAAATATATCAAAATGATTCGAAAAGCCATTTTTGATGCACTTAGATACCTTATATGGAATTTTACGGCCAACCATTTTGAAGGGCGGAATACTAATTGTCGATTGATTGAGTCGTTCAGGGAAGATTCAACGGTTAGTTTTTTTGAGATTTTCTGTACTGTTTTACACTTCTGGACCCTTTGATCGCTTGTTTTTTGAGGGTTTTAACATAGTATCAGCTCAAAATTTAATTTCGCTGAAATTTCCCGTACGTAGCATATTTGAAGGACATTTTTTCAAGTTTACAATTACAAATGTCGCTTGGCACATTCAGTCCTGTTCAGACTGAAGAAATAATATTTTGAAAATGACTGTTGTGGTTCCAATCGTGATTTTAAAACGTAATAGCAATAAACGACGGCTATATTGTACGTGATCACTACAGGTTCGTCCGTAACTCATGCAAAAAGGACATGTTGAAATATGTTGTTGTTTAAATGCACTCGTTATATATTGCAGACTCTCTACAAAATTCTCTAGAAAAAAAACGACCAAAACAACAGTTGGGCGACTGATCAGTGTAAAAACAAGTTTACTTCTTAGTAATAAGACGTTGAAATTCATTTCCGCAGCGCTAGGGGCAACACTGAAGTTAGAACTAGGAGGCTGTAACTCCGGCCCAAAACGAAATTGTTTGAATCATCAACAGAATAACAATCTCATGTCTGTCTCGTCATTTATTGTAGAGATACTTATGTACTTAAACGGAGCTCTCTACAGCCTCATCAGCAATTCAACGCTTCTGCAAGAAGCAAAAGCGCGGATATTCAGCGAGAAGCTCCGAAAAATACAACAGGGATCATCTGATGAAATTTCCCATCAGATCGGGTGCATCCTCGAAAAGCTGGAAAACGCCGACTCAGCGGAGGATACGAAAGAAAAGGACAGCGGAGATGAGAAGAATATGTTGGAAGAAGATGAAACAGCCGTACAGGTAATCTTGATTTATTAAGGTATAGTGTAAGACGGTCACCTTGCCAACTTTGTGTGTAGGATCATATGAATTATAAGAAATAAAGCTGACTTCTAGTTTGTTTCTATATGATACTTCAGGACGATGAAGTCGAGACGGAAATCGATCAGGGCGAGCCGTCATCAAGAGGAGATGCGCACAGCGGAGAAACCCTTCTGTGGAAATTGTATACTTTACCAGGCGCGAAACTCAACGTAGCTCATATTCCCGATGGGCAGCGACGTTCAATCAGTACAGGCTCACGAAGTAGAGGTCGGCGACAAGCTCAAGCCGCTAACCCGATGCCTCATGATGGAGGCGATGAAAGAAAATCACGTTTGTCCGGCAGAGAATCTTCGTCACCTCCTGAGTTTCCGGCAATCTTGAAATTCGTGAGAAAAGCTAATCCTTTATGAGGCCTTTTTAGATACCTATAGATCGAAGAACAAGTAATTTTAATGTCCTTCAAATGTGTGAAGATTTCCTCAACTGGAATACGGAAAGCTACGTAGCCGATATTGAGAATGCCTGACATTTCGTTGTCTTCATTAAATTTTTCAAGGATTTGATAATTTAACACCAATTCCAAAAGTTTGTACATTAGTATCCGTGTTACTACTAGTAACCTAGGATTAGGCTATTAGTATTAACCGGAAAAATAAGTTGCTACTTCGGGGCCCAAAACGGTCTAATGCACATGTCTATTTTTATACTTTTGCAATGCTTCAGATGGCGCACTCTACTGGTGATCGCAGTCCCCTCAACGTTGCTCCATCGGCATCAACGGTCAACGTGCTGCACGTGGCGCCTGCCGCTAGAAGCATCCCAACTACTGCTACTGTAGCAGATAACATAACGTGCCCAACTCTAGGCGGTTCTCCAAGCGAAACTGGGCCTGAGCACGTGTGTCTTCCGGAGATTCTTAATAGTCCTCAGGCATTGGAAAGTCTTCAGCCGGAGGCAGTGTTTGCTGCACGACCGAAAGTACCTCGAACGCCTGAAAATAGCCGAAGATAATCCACTGTTTTTCTTCTTCCATTGATATGACAATTTATAACCGTGGTCGGCCTAAGACTGACTTTAAAGCGGCTGACGGAAGCAGAACGAATAGCCCCCGCATGGCGTATAGAAAATTTAAATTATACAATATATCTTCATCAAACTTCATCAAATGATGCGCTGACCTCATATTATGAGATGTTTTTTTTTTTTTTTCTATCAGATACGTTATCAGTGAAAGAGGGATGTAATTTTATTGTCTGAATCTTGCAAGATCCAGCAGTTTGTCCTGTCTTCACAATCGTAATTGCTTGATTTTATTTCGAGCACCAGAAGCCCGTGTGTTGTCTTATTAAGTGAGTTATTCCATTTCCGAACGTGTGATTATATTTTACCTAGAAATAAATATAGTTCTGTTGTTGTCCATTTGATCCGACATCGAGGCATTTTATCTATAGCAAACCCCTGATTAACTTTACCAGGTTTTTCTATTATTATTATTATTAATATCGAAAAATCTCAGAGTGGCTCCGCCACTTTCCCGCTATCCGTCGCTTTCAGGTTCGTGTTCAGATTAATCGACACGGCTAGTTAAAGCTTTGTTAGATGCAGTTCTAGCTTTATGTAATAAGAAAATACGGATGGATAGTTTTGCGTCCCTACGCGGGTATGCGGGTAACAGGGTAACCCTTATTAGGGTATTATTAATGTACTGTTGTTAGACACCTCTGGTGATTACTGATAGTCTAACTAATAAACAAAGTCGTATTGGTAATTACGATTGAATTGTATACGATACCCATCACTAGCATTGAACACTGGAAACACATCGTCGAATACTGATATCACAATGGAGGTTGTGTTGGGCTTTAATTTCTTGGTGGTTGCGACAATGAATTCTTTTTTCTAGTTGCTTTCACGGTTGCTTCTTTTTTGGCAGACCTCTGCAATGAAGGGGCCAAACAAGATCTGTATTCATCATTCTATTGCTAGAATTTGTACTGGAAAAGTCACGCTCAGATGTCCTGTTTCTCCAGTTAGTACGTAAATATAATACTGCTGCACCATCGTAAGGACCGACCATGTAAACAGCAGGGTTATCGTGATGAGCCACGCCCACCTATTTGCGTGGGAGTTTGGACAATAGGACCGGTTGGGTATACTTATAGACAAAGACTGAATTAACAATTTTTTCATATTTATTATGTGAGTAGTGTTTGCTTTGTACATCACGTAGACCTTACCAACAACGTATATACTTTCATTCATCTTGACGAACTTCGTTGACGATAGCTATTAATTGAAAATGATGTTATATCTGTACTTTGCTATCACAAGTTTAGCTATCTGTCGTGCAGATCTATCGTAGCGCGCTATAATAGCCCGTAATGCACAAAAATGGCTACCAGGTCTTGATTTTTGCCTCCCTGTTGTTTAAGGAGTGGACGGAAAACAGAAGTTTCATTCAGTCCCGTCTATTCGTGCAACGGAGGTGCTTACTCAAGCCAAACTGTCTTAACGGTTTCATTTTCCCACGACTTCTACCGCAGCCGCTATTTAAACCAGCAGAGGGACGGCAGAGACTATGTGAAAGGACATAGATTTGCTTCCCGCAGCAATACCGGCCTACTGACCACACGTTAACGCAGCTCGTTCAGAATACTTAAAGGACGGTCGACTGCTCTTGCACCGGTCTCTTTCTAAACTCGGCATGCATGGACCGGGTGTCACGAATCGTGAGTTGCGTAGTAATAGTATTTTTAAGACGTCCTTGTTTTTGCGCCAACTACATACAAATCTTGGGCTATTCGAGCACACCAGTGGACGCGGCAGTACCAGCCGTTTTGTGTGGACTGGGAAACGGACCACCTCTTGTCCTTAACGCTGCTTTGTAGTTTGGCCCTTGTCGTATCGCAAACTTAGCTCCAAACAAACAGAGACCCGTAAGTGAGCAGGATAGAATTACATTTCCTGGCTCGCAAAAGTGGGAGGAAAAATAAAACGTGATAGCAAAGGAAATCCTAAACTGGGGTAATTGCAATTTTCTCCTCGCACGAGAATTATGGGAAAAACTACAAGTGATACAAGGATCGATAAGTACTGATCTAGTGGTTTAGACACAACTAAGACAAATGCACCCCGCTAAATCATCCTAAGGAGGAGTAAGGACAGATCTAATTTTTTTTTGCAAAGAAGAACATAGGTTTGTTGATAGTAGATTTGGTCAACGGCTAAACCGAGCATCAACTATAGGTGTTCGTTCAAAATATATTTCTCTTAATGTCTTTCTTAATTGGAATTGAGGCAGAAGTCTCCGTTGGAAAATGCTTCATTTCGTTCATCCGCGCCTCGAGTTCTGCTAGCGATGCATAAATATCAGACAATTTGTGTACATAAAAACTATTAGGATTTCGCTTAATTGTCTTTGTTTTAGAACGGAAAATCTTTCAAGTATCTAATAAACACACTGTCTACTCAAATGCCATAGGCAAGCATTTCATGATTAAGCACAGCAGGTCTTGAAGATAGATAAAATATGACAGTTCTTAATGGCGTTTCTGTAACAACATAGATAAGCGACTTTACGTAAAACAATAAGCAAGTACGTATTGATAGGCGCCAGTCCTGGGTCTTGTTAGGCGCAACGCTGCTGGAATAGGTAGTAATTTAGCTACCGTATGGTAGTAACGTCATAGGATATCAGGGTTCTATGAACGAGCAAGGTAAATAGTGCTATTTACATATAGTCGATACATTGTATCCAGTACTATAACTAGCCTGAAGATGTTTGTATGTTACTAAATAATGAACGATAGAAGCCGAAGAACAAAATGTGTCGTTCAGGTGATCAAAAGTGACCCCTTTTCATTTTCGGGAAGTGGTAAAACGGAGGGTTATGATCCAGTTATTAATAGTTCATCACATCAGCGTTATTACAAGGGTCTAATAAAAGTTATTTATGACATCGTAAATGTCTTATACGGGTCTTCGTATCTGTCTCTAAGCAAGGAAACGAAGGTCATCTTCGTAATGGTTGTTGTTCCCGCATGGAGCATCGGAAAGAGCAATGTCCAAGATCATATTAATAAGATCTGGTGAGTGTTGCAGCATACTTTATGGCTCAGCCTAATAATACATGCATGCTTAGCTGAACTAGAGCTTAACGATATGTGACAGCGTGCAGAATGATGCGACCTGCTATCGTGACAGTTCGGGGTATCAAACAAACAGGGGTTAATTTGTAGGCGTTTCAGGCACGGATCACTTCGCAAATAGCGTGACTTGACCTAATTAAAAAAAATGCTGACTGCTGCTTTCGGCCTCGACCTGAAACGACTGTAGACCCGCACCAAATGCCACTGATAAGCATATCTTGTACGATGGGCAGTTGTCCTAGAGTTCTTCTTGAAAATTACTTCTTTCTCATGCTACGATTCTTTAACATTAATGACTGCGTAATAGCAACGTAACATTTCTGTGTCTCTACGTAATAGACAATTAGTATAACTGTGACACGTGTCTCGTATTAACATAAGATATTAGACGCAATATGATCTAAAAAACAGTCCTAAAAAATTGAAACTATAGTCGAATTTATGTAGAGGGTATGGTATAATTATAGAACGATAGAAAAGTAAGCTAGCTTACTTGCGTTTTATTAAATAATTGTCGAAATCAGGCATTTGAACATTGCGGGCCCTTCATTTGGTATCTTGAAAAAATTTGGTACTCTTGATTAACTGTGTACTATAGCACGGTACCGCTTAGTACTGCGTACATATTTACAGCTGAATATTATATCGATTTATTAATATTATAATCCTTAAGCTACCCGATTCATGAGTTTGAGCTAATATATTCTTAAGATACTCGGTGGTCGTTAAAACTTGAACATTATTTTTTAACGCAATCGAAAATCCGCACCCACTGGAGATTTAAAAAAAATTGTTTTTGAAAGCTGTTATCAGTGCCAACTTTACAGAGTTCCAGCGGATTATTTTCATTTACTGAGTAAAACAGCGAGCGAACAAACTCGGCCTGACGCATTCAGGCCAAGTGTAAAAAACGATCAGCCTAAAATGTCAACGCTAAGCATCCTTGTTAAAATGCAAATGCCGGTCTGTGGACTTACGCACTTGCTCATTGTTAGAAACAAGGGCCCGTAGATTCAGCAGCCTAATCCGGTCAGATCTGGCATTATCGGATTTTTACATATAATACCGCTGAGCACCACTTGTAAACCTGCAATAAAAGTTTTCTGCGTGAATATCTTCACTGCTTCATTTATTGCAAAATTGGACGTACATCTTACATAGCATCTTCATACGCCACTCGGAAAAGCCAAATTAACGCTTTCACAATAAATTTAGTCGTAGTATTAGAAAGGTATTTAAATGTATCACCGTGTAGAAATAGGTTATTTATTTGGTCGTTCGGTATCAAACGTTGCCTAAAGAACTTAAGAACTTAAGTAAGGATAATTCGTTTATTTCAAGCTTCTGTGCAAGTCTGAAGTACGAGAGACTATAAAGATAACTTACACTTAGTAGTTTTCCGAAATTTCTCCTTAAAAAGATGAATATTGAAAAAAGATAGTAATCTATGGAAGCCGAGTTTGGCAAGTGTGATCGTCGACAGAGTGTCTCTAAGCGTAGCTCCCGCATTTATCTACCTATAGCATCGTCGTGTAATTAGCTACTTAATGTTCTTCATAGCAGTAAATTTCAGCCATACTAGACCCAGTGGCACTCGAAGCCGTAGTGGATGGAACCTGCATTAAATCATCAGATAGATACTGTAAACCTTCGTCTGCTTTGGGTTGATGCCTAACCGGTTTAAGTGTATCAATTTACTGATGTGGCTGTTTGAAATTGCGGCAGATGTCTTACAAGTCACAATTCGGAGCTCAAATGGGTCGTTGTTCTAACGTGGAAGCAAACAAAGGTACATATCTCTGCGTATGTTTTCGGTGTACCCATTTTCTTGTATTTTACCAAATAGATGGAGGCGAACAGCTGTAGCATACTTACGTACTCTAAACCTGAATGTTAACACCAGTGGTTCAACTTCCATCGTAGCTTTTAAATCTACACTGTCAAACATTGAAGAACCCCATTTGACAAGAAACCCATTCGTGAGTTTGAAGTTTACTTCCCAAAATATAGAATAGTTCGAACCGAACGAACAGCTTACGGTGTTTTTAGTAGCAGACCTCTACAGAATGCAAGACTTGTACGGTGGGTCTTTGCTGTCAAAGTGTGTGTGTCGGGGGGGGGGGGGGGGTCGGAACTCATGCTGGTAGATTGCTCGAATTTTCTAATTTTCCATAGCTCACTACAGGTCGTCTGCTAAAAGCTTGAGTAACGACATGCAAAT